TTCTTCTAATGGTTCCTCAAGACATTCAACAACATCTTCACCCTATGTTTCAATCATGTTTTCTTGTGCTTGAGAAAGTGTCCTGGAAGGTACTTCTCAACACAATAGTAACACAAACCATCAGCTCTTCGCTTGACCATCTCTTTGTTGGTAAGGAATTGATGCAGATTGTATTATTGTTCATTGTGTTTGAAAGCTAGTGCAGTTAGTCCCCCTTTCATATCAGCTTCCTTTTTAAAAATCAATAAGCCTTTGGTATTAATGCTTAGCTGAGAGCTAGACCAGCACGTGGTGAGAGGCTTCTTGGGATGAGCCTTCTCTTACAATCTTCCAAGAAGTAAGCAATGTCTCATAGTCTATGGTTGAAACATATGTATGTGCATTTGTGTGTCCGTTTGTAATCCTGTTAAATATGCACTGACCAAATACTCTTCATAAAGCTTAACTCTTGTTTTAATAATTTTAAATCGAGCATGATAATCCATGATTCCATTGATTTCTTGCAAATGTTTCAAGTCAGCCATCGGATTATCCAATACTTCATCAAACCTTTCTTGTAGCAACATGTTGTATGTGGTCCAATCAAACATAATTGTGTTCCCCATCTTTGATTGCATAATCGATTGATGCTAAGTTGTCGCCATATCGTCAAAGTGAATGTAATCAATCTATACCTCTAGATCGTCCGGTGTGTGATCAATGGCAAATAATTGCTCAACCTTAAACAGCTATTCTTCAATTTTATCACCATTAAACCTAAAAAAATTTAGAGCTTTGCTAACTTAGTACCACCTGAATAATTGGCAGGAGGACCGGTTTTTCGAATTTACCAATATTCTATGTAGAAGAAGGTGTGGGTGTGGCGCATGTTGAGACATCAGCACGATTGGTGGAGAAGAATCGGATTGCTTCGAACATATCAGCCAGCCCTTTATCAGTTTTTTCATATGTGTATCAAATTTACCTTCCAATGCCTGAGTGCGATTCATTATCTCCTCGAACCGCAAACCTAAGCAAAAAATCTGTTTGCGAGTTTCCATCATCTTCACTATAGAATCAGGTGGTGTATGATACCTTTGCTAGAGATAAACTGTCTATCTCCTAAATACTAATAGATATTAGAATCAATATTCCTAAAACACAGATTATGTACACCTGCAAAGAATCTGCAATTGCAGAAGAGATTCTCAGATAAGGTAGAATTTGATTAATAAAAAACAAGCGAGAAAGAAGGGTATTTTTAAAATTTTCAGTATATTATATAAAAGTGTATTATAATCTTTTTATATGGAAAAACTAAACTGAATTAATAATATGAAAACTCATAGATTAGAAAACACAATTCTAAAACCTAATTTTAAAACCCAATAATAAACATATCCAATTATTTGGCTCTCTCAATAAGTAGTATTTGCTATATCAAGTCCTCACCACAACCGCTTCTCCTCTCAATCATGTGGCTGAACTTAGGTGATGCTCTAGTCCGTAAAATTTCAACATCTATTGAGCTGGAACTATCAATTCTAAGTGTCACTCTATTGTATTTTCTCCTACTGGTTCGTCGGGAAACAACCACACTTACTCATAAACTGTAGCTTTAAAAAAGTCTCCTACTATTGAGACTGCTTCTATCACTAATGCTCTGAGCAACTCTACTCCTATCACCACAACTTCAATGTCACTTGGTCCTCTTCCGAATTTGGTACATGTTTACATTCCTCTTTTAACATGTAAATTAGCTAATGGGACTATGAGAAACAAACAAATTGGCAGCAATCAGCGAGCTGCCTTTGTACCGAAACATATTAAGGATATGAGATAGGTGATCCATCTTGTCACATGATACTAGCCTTTGGTATCCGGTTATTTAAGTCGGTTCTGGATAGGAACCATTCATTTTCGAGTAGGAAATGTTTGGTTTCGTTTCTTTCGAGTATATTGATTTTGTATTCATAATTTCATATAGATATCGAAAGTATTTTTATTTGGTTTGGTTCCTTTTCTACCTATGTAAAGTCTGTCCAGTTCTTAATTCTTAAAAACGATAAATACCAGACACATTTTGGATATGATTTAGTTTGGGTATTATTATTTAAAATACTAAAAATATATCTGAAAATTCGAAAGTATACCAAACAATCAAAATTATACCTATATACCCAAAAGAATATAAAACATAATAAAAAAATCTGAAAATATACTCGAAATCCTGAAAACATACTCAAATACCCAAAATACCAAATGTATATATGTAATACCTAAAAAATAACTAATACATCTAATAGTTTTGAATTATTCGAGTATCCTATTGGATATCGGGTAATATTTGGGAAGTCAACCGATTCCCATGAGTATTAATGAAGTGGAACCATCGATATCATAAGTATAACCGAAACCATAAAGAACTGGTTATTTCAGATTGGTTTCAATTTAATTTTGATTTTGACTTTTTTTTCCTATACCTGGACAATACGAAGAACAAAATTAATTAAGCCTACGCACAAAGTCCAAAAGATGCAATAAACCATGTATATGAAACGGTTTGTCCGGAAAAAGGGTTATGAAACGTCAAGGAGACATGTCACCTTATTAGAACATCTAGATTTATATCTCGCCAACACTATTATTTCTTTGGCTTCTACTAGGTAATGATACGTACGTATACGCAGGATTACATTATATTATATAATTTGAAATTTATAGTTAGTATATCATTTTATTTTAAATATACGGATTGAATAATTTAAAAGTTGTTAACTATATAAATATATATAACTATTGTTAAAATTAATATTTGCAGTCTTTTGGTAATTCATACTAATTATTTTTATTTTTTGTTGTCTTGAACTTATAAAAAAGAAGAATTTTTTATCATAATTTTATATTAAAAATAAATAACAAAAGTTGGCAAGATAAACCGGTAACCAAAGCTGTGCCTATGTGTTAATAAAAAAAACTTTGGTGTAGGGCAGCAATTCTTTTTAAAATTATAGGAAAGTATTTTTGAAAAAGAAATTATTTTTATTATTAAATTTATTAATTTTAAATGTGGATATAGATCTAGGTTTATAAAATAGAATTTAACAATAAATCAATTGTTATTAATTTATTATTAAAAATTTAGGTTAAAGAAATATTAAGCCATATAATTTGCTTTTTCTTCTATTTGTTCATCTAACATTGAAAATTCTATTAGTATAATTTCTTTCTCTTCTTTTCAATTATTTTTCTAAATAGTTTTTATTCGTGATTGGTTAATGGAAATTTTAGAATTATAATTTAGTTTGGTTTTATTTTATAATTTTTATGTAATAATCATATTTATTATTATAAAATATATATATAAATGAGAGCATTTTTTATTTATTCGTTTCTGAAAGTTATTTAGATAGAAACAGCTCTGCCCGTAATCGAATTATATTAATTTTAAAAACAGAAATAATCACTAAAAAATATAAAAATTGTTTGATGTCATAACTCAGCACTTTAGAAAAAGAAAAATAATGTAAAGAAATAGAAATTTTTAAGTTAAAATAATTGTTAACCAAGATGTAGCACTAACAGTGTTGTTAAGTAATTCGTTGACACATAGTCTAAAACTAATAGAAGAAGTATATAAAAACCTGACATTTTGTCTTCATAATTTAACAACCCTTTCATTAGCATTGAAGTTTTGTTCTACACTCCAATGATTTCTAATTTGGAGGTACAGTTTTTTTTGTAATTGTATTTTTCACAATTAACTCTGTTAACATATATTATGTTACAGACTGGTAAAAACAATTAACAGTTTTACACAAATCAGGATTTGTTGACCTTCAGATAATATAATGGGAATGAAAACCTCAGGAACACAATCCTTTTTCAATCCACGAAGGCACATGCTCTCTACAATTTTTTTTTTTCATCACACTAACTAAGACACATTACAATTTTTCCATCACTATTTTACATCATAATTAGAAAACACATTTATTAACTGTTTTTTTTTCTTCTTTCTCTGTTAGCCTTTCATAAATTCATGCATGTAATCAAACATGACCGTAACCACACACCCAATAACTTTTTAAAACTGGTCGGAAATTGAAAAGCAAACCATCTCTAGCATTATTTCACCATCTCAATTGGGACAAAAAAAAGAAAAAACTCTCAAAAGTTCAACAAAGCAAAACACACATAGAAGAAAAAAGAAGATATATGGGATAGTCAGACCAAATAGTAGTACACATGCTATAATGTTTGCTTGCGACCATAAGCCATCAAAGTCAAGGAAACTCGCTTCCTTTAGGAGAAGCACGGTTTGGCTCATAATCATCCTCAATGGGGGCTTTGGTCATCTCTCGAGCTGTCCCCACCGCGTCCCGCAGTAGGACTGACAACATAGTTTCTGCCATTGCTATTGTCTTGTGGGCTACCTCCATCATGTTCTGGTCCGTCTTTTCTAATAGTTAGTAAAATGTACGTGTGCTCAAAATTTGAAGTTGCCGTCTTTGACCAACACAAAATTTAAAGAATGATAAAAGAAACCTCTACATTAATAATGATTCATAATCAGACAATAATGCTTATCTTCACTGTTTCTAATAATATCAAAAGCTTTTATTTTTAAAAAAAAAAAAAAACTCAAAGTAGGTGACAGTTCTAAATTTCTTATATCAGCACAAAAATATATACACTACTTTAAAAGTTTCTAGTATTAGATGGAGAAAACACTCATTAAAAGATAATATAGTAAACAATCTCTAATTATCTCGGTAACGTAGTCTAAAACAAGTGATTACATGTGCATTTGCACAATACCAGTAATAATATTCACAAAAATAATCTATGTTTCAACGTTAATTCATGCAAACATCATAATTGCTATTGTCACAGTTAAAATAGATATTGATAAGAAACTAATTCACCACATAATTTCTATTGTCACACATTGCCACAAGACTAATCTTAAAACTATATAACAAATTAAAAGCTATATCATATTTTTGTTCCTTGCTTTGCAAATCAATCCAAAGAATGCATCAATCTAAAGCGCCAGATCATCGTTAAAATAAAAGATCTCGAGAGATTTTAGAAGCTAAAACCCGTACATAGACCAGAGTTGTGGTAACATACAAAATAACAGCTTCTGCTGCAAAGTACACCCGACTATGTGAACACAAAACTAAAGATTTATCCTACAATATACAAAAGTTTTTTGTATCTTCCTCTATCTCAAAGAAAAAAAAAGTTTTATCGGTAACCAAGATACCAGACTCCAAAATATGAATCTAGCAAAGATACCAGACTCCAAAAACTCGATGTGAGCAGCGCGACCGATGAATGAGTTGAGGTTACAACCATACAAGGTCGTGTTGAAGTTGACGTTGCAGTGCATGAACACTCTCTGTTGGTGAGGAGTTTCTTGGGACAGCCCACGTATTTGGTTCATACAGTTATTAAGCATCTCCAAGATATCTACGCCTCTTTTGAGTTGTCGAATAAAGCTGGTTGGCATGACTCAATCCGAGCTGAGTGATAGGGAGCATACCCACCCTGTGATCACAAAACATATATCGTAACTATGATAAAATCTGTCAAGATATTTGTATCCTATGATCAAATTATCGTTGTTGTATCAGTTTCTAATGTATTCCGAAAGTATAATGGAAAATGTACCTGAGGCGAGGACAAGAGAATTATATTCTCAAAACTGTTCAACGTCTAGTGTTGTTGTGCCTGAAAACCATGAACAAAAACAACTATCTTTAGCTCACGACCACTCCGCTGTGGGTTATTATGTTTTCTTGTCCCACTCTCGTCATCATTCCCATTAAGTAAGCTAGAATCAATTTTGTCAACATGTCTCATGTACGAATTATAAAGTAGGCCTTGGTGCATTCCAAACACGTTCTATGATAACAATAGGAACTCGCATCGTATCGCCAAATATACGCATGTCTTGTAAGGCCCGGTTATTAATCTGCACCATTGGTAGTCACAAATGAAACTTTACAATTCTGAACCTAACTGGTAATTGAGCATAAAAATAATACAAACCTGCATTTTTGCAATGCTTTGATGGTGAAGTTCAATGCCGGTAGCTGCAACTTGTGCAGGCTGCACAAGACCAAAAACTGGATGATTAGTGTCAAGCTGGCATTCCCATGAAATTTGGAAAACAAACACTGTAACTATAACTCACATCATTCAGCTTCAACGCACTTGTAGCTCTTTTGTGAGAAGTATGGTTTGAAGTATCATCTATTCAACTTATAAAATGATGTGAATTTCAACCTTGGAGTACACCATCTATATTGACTACTCAACTCTTCGGTCTTTTGTCCAGATATCACGAAGATATTCCATCGTGAAGGTATTCCACTTTGCCTATCAACCAATATAAAAAAAGATTACAAGAAACTGGAAGGATCTACACAATTCACAACAAATATTTCATCTTTTAAAAGAAGTATTGGACACCTAAGCTTCTTGGGACTGTTTTTGCAGTTTCTCTCAATGCGTCTTCTTTCTCCTTCCAGTCCCCTGCTGTGCAGCCTCGAGCCCAATGACCTATCAAACAAACATGATAATCTATGACTTTAGCGAACTCATTCATCCATAAACGGACAAATGATACAGCATGTAAACAAAGATCCAAACAATTTATCCCTCTTGAAAACTCCACTGAGATGCGACTTTCATCGCCTCGGGTTGTTCGGAAAACAATGAACTCTTTTCAGAGAAAGAAACTTCAACAGAATCAAAATGCATAATTTCTCCATCTTTCTCAGAAACAGAAGCAATAGGCTAAGACTTACTTGTTTCATTGGGCTTATATCTCCAACAAAGTCGTTCTCTACTGACGGCAAAGAAACGATTTTTAGCTAGTCTTCTGCTAAATTATCCCGAGAAATCGAAGTTTCTCTGACATTTGTGCCTCCTTCCCAAGACATTCATTGGAATCAGATCTCGTCGTCATCACAGAGAGTCGGAGAGAGAGAAGGAGACGGATGAGCGCAAAACCCCTAACAAAAAAGTTTGCAGAAATTTCAGAATTGAGCAAATCGACGAAATTAGTGTATCAGAATGTTTCAGAGAAAGGTTCTCTCTGCGTAAGAAAGTTTGTTTACCTGAGAATGCGGTTTGAAAATAGGCTCTGTTTAGGCATCCGAAAAGCAGACTGTGGCGATGCTGGCTTGGGCTTCCGTACGGTGGAGAATCTAGACGCTGCGGCGGATGCCCGGCCTGCGGTGGAGGGGAAGACGGATATGGCGGCGGACATTAGACGTTAAGAATCTTTCGATTATGATTTGTTTTTCCCTTCTAGATATTTAGGTAAACATTCTCTTTACAAATCTCTCTGGCTCTTTCTACGAATCTACAAATAGATAAGAAAGAGGAATGTTAACCTTTCTATATTCAATGGTTTATTGGAACTGTTGCAGATGGAATAATTGAACATTGACCGACATTCATTGAATAGAGGAGACCAAGAATTTAAAAAAGTTTAAAAATTTATAGAAAAAAATAAAAAACAAAAATTAAATGTTGATGTGTCAAAAATGGAATGCTGACGTGTCAAGTTTTGGTGAGACAACTCAACTTTTATATAATAGACTAGAGATTGTTCGTGCGATGTGCAGATTTAGTCTGAAAAAAATTAATTATTTTATTTTCATTTGATTTTGGTTTGAATAAATTAATTTGATCCATTTTTGTTGTACTATTTTAGCTGTGTCGCTTTTGTTATAGAATTTTGTCAAGCTTTTTTGTTAGGTTTACAACTATTTGAATGATACACATAAATTATTAATAAAATATATTATTTTCTAATTTTCTCACCAATATGGGTTATGGTGTTTCATTTTGTTTTTGTTAAAAATTCAAAACAAAAAAAAATTTACGATTATTATAGTGGATCTTTAGAATTAATTAATTGTTAATATATAAATAGTATAATCTACCAACATATCTCATTTAGTTTCTTTTTAATCAACAAATATTATAAAAATAATTATTTAAATTTTAATTGAAACCTTAAACTTTTCAAACACATAGAATATATTAAGAGATTTCCAATTCTTACTTTCTTAATATTAGAGCAAAGTTTTTTTTTTTTTACTAAATTTGGCATTAGACCAAAGTTACGTAACAAAATTATAAAACATTCCAAGAAATGGTATAAGACAACTTCTAGCCAACTAAGCTGAAACACCAATATTATTTATCACATTGTTCCGGGTACATAGAGAAAACTAAAAGCAAATGATGGAGATGAGAAAGGTAAGATATCCTTTACGTGACAATAGGAAGGCGATACAAGAAATTTCTTCTCCTGTTGTGTATGGCTTCAATGACTGTGTCTTGCAAAATTTTGCTGTCCCTGCAAAACTGACATAAAAATAGAATAATTTTTTATTTTCCTTAACTGCCATCAGCAAAGCAATTGCCTTAGCTTCCAAAGGAGTTAAAGTTGAGCAACCGATGATTTGCCATGAAGGATAGACACTTTCTTTTTATAAAGATTCCAAGCAATGCATGTTGGTGGGGAGATACCCATAATGCATATGTGAGACAGACATATTGCTTACAAACACAGAATAATATTTCAGTATTTTTTATATTTTTGTGTCCATGAGCTCCCTGGTTTGAAGGTATCATTTCATCTTGCCTTGATTTGGATTCATACCATAGTTGCTTACCCAAGATTGTATTATTTTATATATATATATATATATATATATATACAGTATTTATAAGATGGGGAATGAATTCTTTTCAATTTCAAAAGACCAAACTATTCCTGGCTTTTCATAATCACCAACCTTTGAAGGAAAAATAAGGAAGCCATACCTTGATAGTTAGGACAATTAAGTATGAATGTTTAGAGATTTTGTTGAAGAGAATTGGACACCACTGTTACCCACTTTGGAGAATATCTAGAAAGCAAATCAATCAATGGCTATACTACCTATTAGAGAATAGTTTAAAAGATGATATTTGTTTGCAATGACAGCTGAAATTATGGGCACATACATTCCGGGAAAATGTACAACCAAAAGGGAATAATTGTAATATCGTATAAGGAGAGAGAGCCTTGCATCCATCTGAAGTTGGAACCAAAAAGCTTTGAAGAGCACTAAAGTAAAACTCCATAGTCTCTTAAGTGATTAAGCTTTTGGAGCTTCTCCAGTCCATATCATTCCCACTATTTAAAGTTAAGCATCACCAAAAGATAATCGTTGCAAAGTTTCAGCATCACCACAATTAAAAGGAACCAAAAAGAGATGTTTTTTTGTAACATATAATGGCTTATTTGGAGAGGTGATCAGACATATGAAGAACATCATTAACTTTCTTTTATGTTCGATCGAACAACTGCAAACAAAAAAATATTAGCCTAATTTTGAGATGGATGTCAAAACTTGCATATCAAGCTGACCCTATAAACATTGTCCTTGTCAATCCAGTAATAACTGAGATTAAATATTTTAAAAATTAGTATTACCTGTTTGTATGAGAACTCATTTTTTTTGTTCCTCCTTTTTTCCTCACATACGACATAATGAGATATGGATCCTTTCTCGCTAACATCTTGGAGCTATTTTCAGATAATCGAATTTCATTTGCAGTTTCGATTAATTTATCATACCCGCAACTTTCTAACCGTTTCTTTCTCCTATCGTTAGTTTCACTGTTATGGCTGTAAATCTAGTTTGTTCTTGCTTTAATATGGTCGTTGGTATGAACACGCCTTGTCTTCTTCGCCGTCTGTTACATCCTTAAACTCTAGGAACAAAGCGTATGCCCCACCTCCTTTGCAAACTCTCCCTTCGAGTTGTTCTTGCTAGCTATGGTTTCTAGGTTTGTTCCCTCTGATTGAGTTTCCTTTGCATTCATTGTTGCTTCCTTTTAGCTGTTTCAATGTACTTATTTGAGTTAATGAGTTTTGGTTCACAAATGGTGCTAATTTTTTTGCTTTCGCTTTAAGTGCCCAACTAAAATAGAACTGTAAAATGGTGAGTGCATGAACTAAAATTCATTAAAGAAATCTAGAAATCTTAAAAATATAAATGATTGGTACTGTATCAGTAATATTTTTTCCCTCTTAGTATGTGTAGCTTTAAAAAACTAATACTTTGTTCTTTGCATGGAAACGTTTTGGAATCGATCAATTGAAACAAACGGTGGTGGTTGATCTATGACAGTAACATTATGTACACTTTTACTTTGTAAATAGGTGGATATAATTGTGAGGAAAAATAATAAAATACATGAAAATCAAGAATTTTTGTGAGTGGGACAAAGATGCGTAACATAATTTTGGAGGACAAAGCTTACAATTGTTGAGCCGAGATCTCCCATCTTATTATGCGGTGTCTTCTCCATCGTTTCTATTTCAGCCGGAGATTTTTCTGTATTTGCAAGGTATCAACTTTTGTGACGTAGAACTTGGTGGCGAGGTTTTATAAGCTTTCGTAGGCGAAGGGAAGCATCATAGGAGTTTGACTTTTAAAATTGATGAATGATACTAATAATTATACAGTTAATAAGAAGAAATGGCAACGGAGTTGGAGGAAGCCAAATCGATAACACGAAGTAAACTGAGTATTGGGAATTCAGAGAGAATCTGAAACTCTCAATTGTTTGCAATGTAAAAGTAAACAATCATTAATGGGGCAAACAAAATGGACTCTTAATTATCTATATCGTTAATACATTTGAAGAGCATATATTTTTTATTTAGTTAAAATGCTGATGTTGGCAAAAAAAAATTAAAATGTTGATGTGGCAACATTTTAGAGAATTTCATTTTGGCTGATGTGGATGGCTTAAGGAGCCTCAAACAGCTTCTTTTATTTAGTATAGATTAGGGATGTTAACACTACACATAGATTATTTTCATAAATATTTAATTATTATTTTAGTGAAATTATTTTACTTGTAAATTAATATTTTCAATATCATTTTGATGTAGTCATACATCTAAACCATTTTAATGTATTCGAAAAATATATTATAATTTAATTTAAAAATAAACTAATTTGATATATGTAAAAATTAATTGTTAATCTAGAAATTAATGTTTATATATAAACACATTACTGCTCACCAAATTTCAAACTACTATTGAAATTAATTTTGTTTTTACTAAATTTGATATATAGTTGAACTTAACAGCTATAAGTTTTCTCTTTATTTAATTTAAAACAATTTTTTCATTCAAAAATAAAAAACTTATCAGACATATGACTACAATTGAAATACTTATATTTTGTTCCAATTAATTTATATTTCTTGTCATTTAAATTGTGTTTGTGTAATGAATATTTTTTTATGAGCAGTCTTAAATACAAAACAAAAATCAATGTTCAGAACTCTTACAAATCCGTAAAAGAACTATTGTTCATGTAAATAAAATTAATATTTACATATTATACAAAATCACAATCATATTGATAAACTGCATTTTTGATTTGGGCCTGAAGCATGTGTAAATGATAGAAGTGTGAAGATTAAAACAAATAATACATATACAAATACAGCTTCATACTAATTTATTCTACTAAATAAAGTATTTCGAGTTTCTCAAAATTCAAAATGTGTAAAAGGTTCATTTGCATTTGCTTATAATTTAACTTAGATATTTTTATTACTCTACATATATATTTTGGTGAACTTTTATAATTGAAATAGTAATATATATTATATTATTTTTAAAAGAGTTTCTTAACAAAAAAAAACATATTAGTTTTTCTTACATGTTGGGTTTGTTAAGAATTTCTTTTTTTATTGATATAGATGGTTAGATATGTTTTTATAACATTTTCTTTTATATAAAAAAATATATACTATTTTAAACATAGAAGTGTAATATATTAATGTTTAATATACAGTTATGCAAGTTTATTTTTACATACGCATAACTATAACGATGATTCATACTATACTGTAAATAATTTAATTTATGTCTAAATGTATTTAGCCAAAAATAAAGGAATAGTATGTACATAATCATACATATTTGATGTTTTTAATTATTGTGTGGACAAACTTAATACTTAATAATATTATATCTTATCGATTTTTAGTTTAAACATGAGAATAAACATTGGTTATACGTCACCGAGTATAATCAAGTATCTTGAACCAGTAGCTGGTGATATGTTACAATATGTTTGGCCGATTGCTATTAATGAAGATGAATTTCCCGTGTTAGGGAGAGGATTGAGAGAATCGCCAAAAGATATCACATGGTGTACAAAATCTTTGGCTTATTTTGATACTCCTACCAATCAACGTGAGATGGAAGTTCAGAAAATTGTACATATGCAAGATATGACAAACCAGTTACCAGATGCGTTTACAGATACAAAAAGGGAGACAAAGTCATATATACCTGCAACAAATGTTCCATACAATCTTAGTTCTCCTGAAGAACACATTGATAGAGACACATTGAATGAACCTATGGTTCAGTTGAAAAGGGGGAGACCGATGGGTTCTAAAGATAAAATTTC